ATTAGAGTACAGGATCAGAAAAGAAGAGTAGGAACATTCTCTTTACAAAGAGGGGGATTTGAAGGTGAGTACTCACGAGTCTAGGCAAGTCCTGGTTTTCTAAGGTCGGCACCCCCTTCCCTTCCCTCTCTTTCCTTCTCAGGTTCTACCCCTATTGGCTTGACAGTGCTAGGGGCTGGGTTGCCCATTCCTGACTGGCTCGATTCCATTGTATGGGGGCTGGTCTATGGCCATATCATTCCTTGTGGGGTCAAGTGTTCTGTGGTCCACTACTTATTTTTTTTTTTTAATTTTTTTTTCCAACGTTTATTTATTTTTGGGACAGAGAGAGACAGAGCATGAACAGGGGAGGGGCAGAGAGAGAGAGAGGGAGACACAGAATCGGAAACAGGCTCCAGGCTCCGAGCCATCAGCCTAGAGCCTGACGCGGGGCTCGAACTCACGGACCGCGAGATCGTGACCTGGCTGAAGTCGGACGCCTAACCGACTGCGCCACCCAGGCGCCCCTCCACTACTTATTTTTAATCAGGTCTTTTGTCAAATTCCTGAGGAGAACCTGTGGGGCAGTGGGTGGTGTCTGTTACATTCTCAAGAGGAACCCTACACCTGGGGGGTTTGCTGTGCTCAGACCCTCCCAGCGTTGTTCCAACCTAGGTGTTTTTCCCCACCCTGGGACCTCAGGTCCTGACCTTTCCCTCTCGGCCTGTTTCATCCCATCTTTCCCTGTTTCATCCATTACCGTCAACATTTGCAGCAGGATGGGACATTTGTTACACCTCATGAACCGACACGGACACGGGTCTGTCACCCAAAGTCCAGTAGTTTCCATGAGGGTCACACTTGGTGTTCTATGTTCTGTAGGTTTGGACAGATGCACAGTGACCCGTGTCCACCACTGTAGTATCATGCGGAGCAGTCTTACTGCCCTGAAAATCCTTTGTTCAGCCTGTTCACCCCACCCTCCTCCCTAATCCCTGACAACCACTGATCTTTTTTACCGTTCCCATCCTTGTGTCTTTTCTAGAATGTCATAGTTGGAACCAAACTACACATACAGTCTTCTTAAACACATAAGGGAATTCTTAACAAAGCCATCCATAACCTTCCTCCCCAGCAATGCCTTTGACTTCTTGATTAATTTCTAACCGATATCTTTCTAGGTATTTTTTGTGTGTTTTTTTTTTAACTCCTTTTGTCTTCTAAACAGTTCATTTGTAGTAAGTTTAATAACCTCCATAAAACTTTTCAACTACTTAGGCATATTTTACATATCAGTCAGAAGAAGGTAGTTTGTTCTGGTTCACAGTCACAAAGGCTTATTTCTGTCTGTCTTTCTATATCTATCTATCTATCTATCTATCTATCTATCTATCTATCTATCTATCTAT